AGTTGATGTTCGTCGTCATCAGTACAATGACCCAGTGTTAAGATTTTGGATACCGTACGTACGAGATCAGTACAAGCCAGCAAAACACCATCTACCATACAACAACATGCAATACCATGCTTTACTACACAAGAATTTTGACAAACTTAGACTACGAGACGGGATACTCATTAGAGAAACAATGGTGAATGACAGAAAGAAATCCCAGATACTTTTACCTAGATCATGCATTGGAACAGTATTATACCATCTACATACTGACATGGGACATCCAGGCCGAGAGAAAACCATCAGCTTATTAAGGGATAGATTCTATTGGCAAGGAATGACATCAGATACGGAACATTTCATTTCAAACTGTAGGAGATGCCTTTTAAGGAAAACACCAACAACAAGAGCTCCACTTATCAACATCAGAACATCACAACCGTTAGAACTCGTATGTGTAGACTACCTTAAACTAGAGAAATCAAAAGGAGGATACGAAAACATCTTGGTTATCACCGATCACTTTACTCGATTTGCTCAGGCTGTAGCTACAAGGAACCAAACTGCCAAAACCACAGCTGAGGCATTGTACCATCATTTTATTGTTCATTATGGGATACCTTTAAGACTACACAGTGATCAGGGTGCAAATTTCGAGTCTAAGATCATACAGGAGCTCTGCAACATTCTTGGAGTTATCAAGTCAAGAACAACGCCTTACCACCCCATGGGCAACGGCTTAACAGAACGCTTCAACAGGACTCTTCTCAAGATGTTAGGAACACTTGAAAATTACCAAAAACAGGATTGGAAGTCTCACATTTCAACTTTAGTTCATGCGTATAATTCGATGAAACAGGAAACAACAGGACAATCACCTTTCTTTCTTATGTTTGGACGAGAACCTAGACTTCCAGTAGATCTCATTTTTAAAACAGATGGACCAAATCAACATGAAAACTTGAACTCCTACATCAAATCTTTGAAATCTAAATTAGAACAGTCTTACCACTTAGCACAGAAATCTATCCAGAATGCCCAGGGAAGACAGAAGAAGAATTATGACATCAAGGCAAGAGATGCTGTTATTCAGCCAGGAGACAGAGTATTGGTCAAGATTGTTGCGTTTGAAGGCACTCACAAATTATCAGATAAATGGGAAGAAGAGCCATATATAGTGCAGAGTCAACCAAACAAGGATGTTCCTGTGTACATAGTGAGAAAAGAAAGCAACAACACCTGTAAAAGAACTTTACATCGGAACCTTTTGCTACCAATCGGACACTTAGATGTTGATTTACAAACAGAAAGGCCTAAGCCAGCACCTAGGAAAAGGATAAAGCCTAGAGTCACAAGAAGAACCAAACAACTTACTACCTCACAACATGAGGATAACAGTGACTCAGATAGCAGTGACGAGGAGATGATAGTACAGGAGGCAGCATCCACTGCACATAGCAAGGATAGTACACCTGCTTTTGAGACAGGAAGTAACCAACAGGAGAATGCATTGGCCAATGAGGAAGAGAGCGCTGAAGAAGAGGGTAGTTCCGGAATACCTTCACCTGCTGAACAAGTTGAGGACACAGGTACTTCAGTAGCTAGTATTACAGAAGACACTGACGTGAAGGAAATAGAACTGTCTGCAGACACACAACAGCAAGACGAAGCTGAAGCTGATGATGATGATTTGGATGATACCAATTCTGAGGAACATTCAGCTAATGAACAGCAGACAGTACCTAGAAGATCTCAGAGGACAAAGAAAACAACATCATGGATTACCAGTGGAGACTATGTAGTAAATCAACAGGTAGCAACACAACAACCAGACTGGAAGACAAGAGCAGATTATTTACAGACTTTAGCTTCCAGTCATGTATTTCATTCTAGCAACAGTAAGGAACTAGTGGAAAAGGCTCTGATAGACATTATTACAGGTAAGAATTAGTTAGACAAGTCAGTTAAGTCAGTCAGTTGAGTCAGTACGGTAAGTGTATATAGTTCTCGGTGATATTCTATGTTTTTATGATTTTATTTTATTTTACAGTCGTTATTTATTTATGAAATAGTAAATGACGAGGACGTCATTTCACGAAGAGGGGAAGTATGTGATAGGGTGATTTATTTCATATATTAATTATTATATTTCAGGATTAAATTAATTCAGTTGAATTATCATATTTATTTCTTTTCAGCATTTCATTTATTGAATAAATCCACATGGAATTATTTACATCAACCTGTGTTCATTGTGTTATTTATAGATGTATGACATCACAGTGGTCATTTAACCCCTGTCCCTTTTCTATTTATATCTTGTGTAGTGTCAGGGCCAACTTGGATTTCATTGGTTGGTTAGTTTCCCTCTCTTTTGGTTTTTAGCTTAGTTAATTACTTTGGTTTGAGATCTTGGTCTGACCAGCAGACATATTGGTTTTGTTTATATGTTTGTCCATTTTCTATGACTTATTTACGACCATGACCAAGACTGGACAGAATGTAAGTTTACTTTTACTAATTTCATTATCTCTATATAATTGTTTATCTATTTAATTCCCAAATATTAATATTCTAATATAAAGTATGAAGATTCAGTATTTGTGATTATTTTATGACTTTGTAAATAATGAAAAGTAATGATTTCATATATCAGTGTATTGCATATTTTTGAGAGCAATACAGTAAAGTTGTTTATTATTTATATACAGATCACTGAGTAAGAGTTCACGCATCATTGTATATTTGGAGTATTGGCTTTATATCACATATAGGTATGATGTATATATATTTTGAATATTGTCCATATAATTATATTATTCTGGAAAAGTTCAGTATAATTGATCTGATTGTTTCATCTATAAATTCCAGAGTGTTTATATTTTGTACATACTATTGATTAAGAAAGACAACTCTTGATGTTTTATCCATGAGCACAATTAAAGGGCAATAACTCTTATTTTGACCGTGCTATCTGGCAAGTGATCTGCGTGTATGTATTGTTATCAAATATTTATTATTGTTTATATATTTCAGAGCTGTGATAATACTGATTGAATATACACTTATCCACATCTACAACATGGTGTTTGTGTTAATTTACTTATAAAACGAACCCCATTTCATATATTCAACTAATTATATATTGACAGTGTGACTGTTAGGGTGAAGGCAGATACTTATTTAGTTTTAATTTAGATTGTGCTTGTCAAGCCGCATTTGACATAATGGTGCATCCATGCACAGTGTTCACACTGAGAGTTTATTCAAATGTTTAATTCGAATGATTTCACTGCTCGTTAAATTACTTCCCATTAGCTCCATGTGAACATGACTAAGGATAGCTAATTCAAATTAAATAGAAATGAATTTTGAATGTAGCTTAAACATGTTAAAGAAGCTAAGCACTGTGGGTCCAAAGTATACTGCGGAAAAATTGTGTGGAGCAATGTGCAAGTCAAATCTTCTTTTGCCGAGGTGTTATCATAAGAGCTCGCATTATGGGCAGGGATTTGTGCTGCTGTCTGGACTCGCTATAAATAGATGTTTTCAAAAAGTCTGAATTTTTTTAATATCATACTTTACTGACAAAAAAGGACAAATATTGCTCAGTTAAATTGCAAAAGAAATTTGTTTAAAAAAAATTGTAATAATAGAAAGTTTGCTTTTTTGTTTGATAAGACTGCTGTAATGGTTTAATGATTGTTTATTTGCCTTAATCATACATTTTCAGTCATTTCATGGTGCCACCACTTGGGATGGTATTAGCTGCAAATATAGACTTGTACTTAGCACTTATTGCCTATAAGAAGTATGAGATCCATTTTGTGCTAACACCTACCATGACACAGAATCTTGGTTTATGCAGTCTCATAGGAGTAACCTGTCTAAAGCATTTAGCAATGGGATTGGAGCCTGAGACGTAAGGTTCAATTTCTTATTGATACTTTGATTGATAATATTTATTTGAGAATTTCACTTATTCACATACTTAGAGATGTTGATATATACTGTTGAATAGCATCACATAGACCTTTACTTAGCTAACTTAAGTAAACATGTACTGTGAGGTTTTTAAGGTCTCATTCATTTTATATGCCGGATGCATGTTAAGGAACATTACTGCATAAATGTTTTTGTCTTAAATTTGAAGCTCTTTACTAATGCCCTGTTCACACGGAGAGTTTAATTCGAATTAAACATAAGTTTACTGCGAATCAGCTTCGCTTAGCGTTCACACGGAGAATTTAATGCGAATTAGTTTACTTCGCATTAGTTTACTGCGCATTAAATTACTTCGCATTAGCTCCGTGTGAATGCTAAGTGAAGCTAATTCAAATTAAATTCGGACGCATGCGTAATAGCAAAATTAAGTCAAATGCCACATGTTGGTGGTCAGCTATAAGTACTTGTACTATTTTTGGGTGAAAAACTAAGGAAAAATGTGTTAATCACTAAAATATGTCTCCAGACACTGTGACATTATGTCAAATGCATCTGCTTCTGCATAAGGTGACGTGATTTGCAAATGACGTCATAATAGCCTTCCTCACGCCTGACTGTCGAAGTAAAATTTTAATTCGCATTAGTTTACTTCGCATTAGCTGTCGTGTGAACGCAATTTAATTCGCATTAGTTTGATTCGCATTAGTTTACTTCGCATTAATTTACTGCAAATTAAATTCTCCGTGTGAACAGGGCATTATATAGAGATATGTTACCATATAGTGTTAAACGTCTTCAAATTAGGGTAGACCTTTACTTTAAACTCAGCAATGTGAGTGTGTTGTGTGAACTTGTGTTAGCAAGACAGTGTGTTGTATGAAATTGTGTTAGTCTGACAGTGGGTTGTGTGAATACTTGTTAGCTGTTGCGTAAACTAGTGTAAGCAAGACAGCGTGTTGTGTGAAATCGTGTATAAAGTGGAAGTGTGACAGTGTGTTGTGTAAACTCGTGTTAGCTAGACAGAGTGTTGATTGTTTTATCCTTACAGTTACATATACAATACTCACAACAGGCAAACCTTGAACTTGCACATCACTGTCTTCAGAGTATATCCTGCAAGAAACATTTGATCATTGCACATTACAAATGAATTGATTTGATTTTCTTTTTTAAAAGTTTATATTTGCTTTTTTTGTTTTATTTTAATGAAATTATAATTTTTGTGCATTTAATACAGTATCATCACTATCATGTGCATACATATTGAAGACCATTTTTAAATTCAATCAACAATGTCATTCTTCAAAAGAAAAGACATACATTGAAAACATGTAAAGATCAGGGAAGCCCATATTTTAAAAGTGGAGAAAATAAAATAAATTTTCTTGTGTGTATAATTTATTTGGGATGGTGCATATCATTAAAAAACAAACAATAAAAAAGGACGGAATGTCTCAATAGCTGACTTTATAATGCAAGGCTAAAAAATAATTGAAGGCCCACTGGACTGGGGTCAGTGATTTTTGTTTTATCTAGGATAGTACATGGTAGGGGGCACTCTGTCTTTTGGGTCAGTTCTATGTACATGTATAACAAAATACAATTATAGATGGGCTACTAACTTGACAGGATTGTGTCAAAGTTCTGTCATTTTGGAATCCTGTTTTGTTTAGATTAATTATTTGTCCAACTGTGTATCACAATAAATAAACAAAATATAACTATTACATCTATCATGATTATTATTATTATGGTTTTGGGTCAGTCTCTTTTTATTAAATCTAGTAGCCTGGGAGTGAGATAGTGATATTATGATGATCTGACCAGTAAAAAGCCTGAGTGAGCAGAAAAAGAAAACTATTTCTAGCCTGGGCCTACAATGATTTCAAATTTGTGCTTCATTATACATTTTCTAAATTCAATTGTGTTTGTTTATTTAACCGTATAGGGACAATTGTGTTATTTTTGTCATACCTGGAGATGGTTGTTCAAAATGTACTCTGCAGCTGTACCTGCAATAGACAAACAAAAAAGAAAATTATTTTTCATTTAACACATTGAAATAATTAAACAATATGTAAATTAAATACATGTATTCTTACAAACAAAAATGCAAAACATCAATGTAAATTACCTTTAGCAATTATCTTTTCATTACACAGATTGATGCATGCATGCATGTAATTTATTATACCCCCGCTTGATAAGCGGGAGGGTATATTAAGTAATTGGTATGTTTGTCCGTCTGTTATGCTTTGGTGTACCCATCTCTTATCCGCTAATTCCTCTATTACCACTGAGTGATATTTGATGACTTTCACACAATCTTTATTACATATTGCAATCGTGCATCTTCTATTTTACTTTTTGATCCACCACATATTTGGGGTTTCCCATATCAAAACATGGACACAGTCATTATTTTCATATGAGAATTAGCGGTAGGTATCATTTAGTGTCAGAGCGCATTGCTCACAGTACCTTTAGTTTTATAATATTTATACTATTTCAGTAGCTACTTTTAGATGGGCAATACTTTAAAAGGGAAAATAGTTGTACACATAGAAATATTCAAAATTTTCATAAACTGCATATGTGATTGATTGATTATATGTTGTTTAGAATGTCCCTCTCGAAAATTTTTCACTCATATGAAGACGCCACCACTTGCCGGTGGAGGGCTACAAATTTGGGGTGAGGGCCTTTGAGCAGGGAGGAATAATTTTGTGCCAGCACCTACAGCGACACGGGGCCTCGGTTTATACGGTCTCATCCAAGGACCGGTCTCCATGTCCCACAGTGGGATTTGAATTAGCGACATAAGGATTGACTCTTTACTTCCCGACTCTAGAGCAGACACTCTAATCACTGCGCCATGCGGGGGACAAGTTTCATACCTGATATATACACAAGTATGTGAGAATTTACTGCATTGACATCATCTGATCAATCATAAATTCTATATGATAATAATTTAATTTCACTCATATAGAGCAATTTCATTGGCTGAATCATTCAGAGGAACATATAATATTTTGGATAACATAACTTGGTATGGGGACACGCCCCCTTGACAACCACACCCGGAACTACTTTTTACATCCATAGAATCATACAGCTGCTGTATATTGAAAGAAATCTAACAGAAATCTTACAAAAAAACATTAAAACAATAAATACTTTATAAATTAATTTGTTTTTTGTTTTTTGTTTTATTTCTGCATCTGTCTTAAATAAATGGCACAAAAATAAAAAGAACTATTACATGGGGGGCATTTTTATTGATGTAATATGTCATGTGGCGTCTGCTTTTTGTAAACAATCAAGAATGGGAGACTTTGACCTAAACTATAACTTTAATTGCCATTTGGAGGAATCAGGAGAGATGGAAACTGTAGATTGGGAAATATTAGAGCAAATATTTAGTACTGAGGGTGAATTTTCCTGCAGTGAGGTTTCTATTGATGTTCTGGCCTCTACATCTCAAACAGAAGCAGAGCAAGAAATGAAACAAGCATTTCAGCCAGAAGAGAAAGAGAATTTTACTGTTCCAAAAATTCAAGATTCCAAAAAAAGATTTAAAGATGTATCAGAAATGGAACTGAAACAATTGCAGGACAAAAAGCAATCTCTAGCTACTAAAAGAAACACTAAATGGGGGGTTAAACTTTTTCAAGGTATGTTTTTGTTTAATCATGTTATTTATACTTTGAAAACTATTAGGCCTAAATAAAAACTTGTGGATGAAAGTAATTCTAATTTATAATTTAATTTAAAATCTAGCAATACACCATATTATTTCAACCCAGAATGGGAATTGCACCCAAATCTCTCTTTTCAGAGCGCTTTGCTATTTAAGCTATCTAGGTATATATTGAAATATGGTGCATTGGTAATAACTCTAGTACCTCCCCTTTTTGTAGACTGGAGTGTCGAAACATATGGAGAACTGACAGATTTTTCAACTATCGAACCTGCTCAATTAAATACAAAACTAGGGAAGTTTTATGCGGAAGCTACACCGCAGCCAAGCAAAAAAAGGGCCGACCATATGTCTAGTCAACAGGCTTCTGAATACCACAAAAATTCATTCAAGTCCATGCGATCAGGAATCAACAGGCATTTGCAAGATTTAGGGAGGGATATAGATATTGTTCGAGGGAGGGAATTTAAAAGCTCAAACAGCATTCTTGATGGAAAACTGAAACAAAATCTACAGGAAGGTCTAGCAAGACCTACAAAACACAAGGAAATCATTCACACTTCTGATTTGATGAAAATTTCAACTTACCTTTATGAAAACATGAATCCTGTCGTTCTTCGCCTCCGCATCTGGTTCCTGTTATCTATTCAGTTTGTAACAAGGGGTCTTGAATTCCATGACCAGTTAAAAACAAATTCTTTTGTCTTCTCCTCCGACGAAAATGGGCAGGAATATGTAACACTGTCACATGATACCAAGCAAAAAAATTGGCAGGGGGGAATTGACACTGCAGAGAACCCCAAAGAGAAACGCATGTACGCCGTCCCAGAATTAAATGAAAAATGTCCAGTCAAATCACTCAAGCTCTTTCTTTCAAAAACAGACCCAAATGCCATCAGCCTCTTCAACCATTGTTTAAAACCCGCCCTATCATCTCCGCAAAATGAATCCATTTGGTTTAGCTGTGTTCCCGTTAAAAAATACCAGTTCACTCGTTACATGTCCGACATTTCTAAAAATGCTAATTGCAGCAAAAACTACACGGCCCATTGTCTTCGTGCTACCGCAATTCAAGGAATGAATGACGCAGGCTTTGAAATCCGACATATTATGCACATGTCCGGTCACAAAAATGAATCGTCCGTAAGAAGTTACAATCGGGATTGCTCAACTACACAGAAAAAAATGATGAGCGACACTCTTAGCGCACTTACTGTTCCACACACAAGGAATAATGAAAACAGCAACGACCAACTTGCAGTCGTTTCCCACACTGCTCCTAATCCAGCGATTCCGAGTCTCGATCTACCCGTTTCCTCTTCAGCACCTGCGATCCCGACGGCCTTATCGATGCAGTCTTCACATTTTCTCTCCTCTGGTTTCATGTCCAATTCCACTTTCAACAACTGTGTCTTTAAATTTGAAAAATAAACTCTTCAACACCAGACAGTGCGTCTTTCCATAATCAAATATGGCTACCCACGCTTCAGTTCCGCTTCGATTCTAGGTCAAATATGTTGCTAAGTGTAGATTAATGCGCGCGTAAATTCAAAATTTACGTTATGTACACATGTGTTTTTTCCGATTAAAAAATTGAAAACTTTATGAAATTGAGTTAGATTTGTATTTGAAATTAAATTATAAGGAATGAAGCTTATTTTAACTTATTTTATACGATATAACATAACTTGGGGCAGTTTACGCTTTTTTATAAACCGCTTCGCGGTTTATAAAGCGTAAACTGCCCCAAGTTATGTTATATCGTATAATATAAGTTAAAATAAGCTTCATTCCTTAATTAAATTAAAAGTAACATTCTTATTTTGATCAGTATAGGCTCTAGTGAAAACTTCATGATTGATATAAACAGCTGACACTATTAACACTGCAAACAAATGTAAACAAACCTTTAGTCCTTTATCCAGGTACACATGTTTATGTGTAGAGGAAATTCGGAAGAACTTCTTGTGCATGCACACGAGTACGGATAGAATTAAATTTTAGTCTCTTGGTATTTGAAAAACACATATGGTTCTCACAAATTACCGGGTATTGATAAGTAAGAATAATGACTTTTATACGCGTAACTCTGCATATGCATGCATATTAGACTACCTTACAGGTAGGAACGAACTATAGCACACCTGCACTTTCTCTTCAATTTTAGACATGCTATTAACAGCATTTGACAAATAAGCTCTAAAATATATAGCCATTTTGTGCTAGAGGTAATCGAAAAAATAAATGAAATTCTATTTACGAGTGTTTTTGTTCACTAAATCAATGTATGTGGGTTAATCTTTACCATCACAACTCCCTTCCACGTGGAAACATGTTCACAAAATCGAGAGGTGCTGTTTTGACACTTTAAAGTGCAATAGTACTTGACAGAATAAGAAACTGCAAACCTACTTTCACTTTCCAGGTAAAGAAACGTTTGTTTTTCAACTTTTTGCAATTTACAAATCTTATAAATCGAGATAACATAAAGTTTTACCTCTTTTTTCATGTTGAATGGTCTCGCTGAATTCTCGCGAGGAACGTTGTTCGGACGTTTACGGATTTTGTTGATATTTTATTACGTTTATCTCCGAATTCTTCCGATTTATGCTAATGAGGTTAGGAGGTGTGATAGTTTTATTGTGTGAAAACTACAGTAGCGAAACTCTTCATTTTTATATCATACACCCCTGTCAACGCGCGATCGGCAACGCGGATGCGATCGGCAACGCGGATCAAAACATTGAAGAAATAAGTATTGTAGGGGGTAAATTTAAATAGTTTTGTATGTGCTGGAGTGTAACCAGCTGAAAATAAAATTAAGGATGAATTCTTCTGATCAATTTACCCCAAGTGGGTCTTCGTACTTAGACATGTCGTAAAATTCAAACTGATAACAATTTTCAAAGAAGTTTTTAAAGTTTTTATGATTTATATGTTTAACTATATTTCTTTTTAAATAAAAAATATTTCTATGTGGTATAAATGACCAACACGTGTGCAAAATTACGATATTTACGACATAGGCCTAAGAAAGTCGACAAGTGAAATCGACGTCGAGAGGGGAAGATTCAAGAAGACGGGATCGCCCGTTTCAAAGCGACAGGAATGCCGAATGGCACTCCATTAAAAGAGCCAACCGACAGAAATTTTAAAACATTTAAAAGATTGTCGAGATCACAATTAAGCCTACAGGAACATTCTCGGTACGCAAACATGCCAGCCAAGAGCGCCGAAGTGTGTTGACGCAGTGGAAAAGCGAAAATGTAGGTTTACAATGCTTTCAAACTTATTGAAAATAGCAATGTTTGTGCGTTATAGATACAAAGGTTTCAAAATACATAGTATACTGTCACATCGCAAAGTCAAACATAGCATATTACATGTTACATGTACGTAACGTTAGGCCTAAGGTCTCCAGAGGCTTGCAGACGACAACATTCGTATTATCTTTTTTATTACAATTTTAGCTTTTAGTATATGATAAATTACCTTTGATATTGTAAATGCAGAATCTCTATCTCAAATTTATAGACACACCGTAAGAAAATAATAAGATAACTTCTATAATTTTTAGCTGTTTACATTCGGTAAGAAACAAGGTCGCTTCATTCTATGGCGGCCTATGCGGGTTAAAAAAATGGAATATTTCTGAAACATCATGGAACATGCAGAAATTATTTTAGTCTAAACTACAGGCCTGGGTTCATAAAAACAAAGTCAGATAGACAAAATAATGATTTTTCATTTTTGAACAATGATACATGTATTACCAGTAAATTATAATCTAATTTTTTTCTAAAATAATTTTTTACAGGTAAGTCTTGTTTTCACAAGAATCACTCATGAAGGCTTTTAGAAGAGAGCAGGGTTTAAGAACCACTAAAATCAGATGGAGAAAACCATAAAAATCAGATTGAGAAAGTGGGACTGGATTTGACTAATCTCTGTGATGCCACCATCCAACACCACAAACCAGGACCCAATCTGGAACCCCAGGCCAAGAGAAAGAGAGGACATCCAACAGACTATTGTGAAGTTTTATGTGTTAATTGATTACTTTTTGTTCTTAAAAATCTTTTCTTAACAAAATTGTAAATATTACCTGAAATTATCACACTAATTTTGAATATTTGGTGAATAAAACACATACTTTGATGCCTAAATGCTTGATTTATTTTCATTAAATGCTGAAAAAGAAACATGGGGTGGGGATATAAAATATATCAAAACTTTCTTATATGTGCACTAACCCCTACTTTTCATGCTATGAAAAGAAGCCATAATACCTAAAGAAACTGTACAACAATTTTTCTTAAAAAGTTTAATTGTAGAAATATGTTTTTCTTTGGTTTTTTGAGCAATTTTAAAGGGAAAAATGTGTCTAATTTTGACATGGGTGAACAACATTTTTGGGTACAAGTTATCTAATTGGTATTTATTTGCTCATATTTTGTTTAAAAAATCAACTTTGCAATACTTTCAAGTAAATTTAAGCCAAATTAAGTTTTAATTCACTATATTTATATGTTTTATGAGGTATTTTATTGTCCAGTAGCATTTTTAAGGAAATTTCCCATGCTCTATTTTGGCCTATGTTCAAAGGGTTGAACCTCTCTTAGATGAACACTAACATACACTTTTCTTGTCTTTAAATTATTCCTTGGATATTACACTTTCAGAAAAATATAAGCATTTGAAAAGTTTAATGCACGTTTTTTTCCGCGTATCATAAGAATACATCCTTAAAAGACATTTAATTTAGATAAGTATCTACAGTTTAGGATTTACCGAGAGTAAATTTGGTTCACAGTTTCTGTGCAAATGCTACCGATCAAATCAACAATGTTCAAAATATCAAATTTTCAAGGCTTTGAAATAGTTTATTGTTGTTATTACCTAAGAACATTTGCTGCTTTTGTTATGTAACGGTTCTTGGAAGTATGAACTAAAAGATTTTAAAATTAAAACTACATACAATATCTTTAAACAAATTTTAACTGGAAAATTTGACAAACGCGAGGCGATCGTCAACGACATGTATCTTTTTATGAAGCGATCGTACAACATAGAAATAGCGATCGTACAACACACGAAATAAGAATAGCACAATTCAGAGAATCTTGTTGTCAAAAAGTTTATTTTGATATACAATAGATATTTTACATTCAAATTAGGCAATCAATCAGTCATTGTTATACCACTTTAAATCTTAAATTTTTCCTACATTTATATAGAAAATTGAAATTAACTGCGTAGATTAAAGAGATACAACTGAAAAAGAGTTTGATGGCTAACAAATATGTAAAGTAGATTTTTTACCTCAATTTTCATAACAGTGTCACCCCCCACCCCCACCCCCCCCAAAAAACCCTAAATATCTTAGATGGTTTATCATGCAAAGTGTAAGTAAAGGAACATTTTCTAAACTCAAGATTCAATTTCGGAAATGTGTTGTGTGGGATGGCGGGAGGGGGTGTTATGATTCAAGTTCTTGAACAAACAAATTTATCCAAAAATTACCAGCTGCCTTACCCGGATTTGACTACATACTGCAAAAGGGGGACAACCAGTCTATTGGTTTAGCCCCCCCCCCCTTCAATTTGCTTCCGACGTCTATGAAAGTAAAGTTTTCACCCCACCCCACCCCCGATTCTACATTGTACATGTGCGTGCATGATATTAAAATTGGCAATTAATTTAAAAAAAATAATACTAATAATGATAACAGTTTTCAGTAAATTAGAAAATACACTGTAATACATATAATGCTGTTATATTAACGTGTGCGTGTACAAAACATTTTTACTGAAAATATTCGGTAAAGTTGCTAGGTATGCAAATTCCTTTGATCGTTATTTTTATAGTATTAATACATATCTTTTTTTTTATTTTCTGAAAAAAATTCAGTTTTTGATATGTATGCCAACTCCTGTAATTGAACTGCCATATCATAGACAATAAAGCCTTTTTTCTACATTGCTAAAATTCGGTCCTATAACACTCTATAGGTGTCTGTTTTAAACAATAATCAAATAATATCAAGAATTTAAGGTTCCATGGAGTTTTGAATTTTGTTCTCTTAAAATACGGACATTATTCAACTAATATAAAAGATAAATTCGCTCTTTCCCTCTCGAAAATCAAATGCTCGGTATCTCGTTCTATTTCGACAGACTTTCCACCCATACCACATAGCTATCTATTACTTTATTTCATTAAAAGTATTTTATAAATTTCAAGTTGCACGATCGCATGTTTATCATATTTTCTTTGTTGTACGATCGCATATAGAGTCGTTGCCGATCGCCAAAACGTTTGGCATATGTTCACTTCAAACCGTTATTTCAACGCTTTCTATTTGATGAAGAACTTCAAATCGGATTTAAAATTTATTATTTACCTATTTACAATTCAAATGTGCCTTTTGGACTGTCGGGTATACGTAATAAGGTAAGAAATACCACTTAAACGAGCTTCAATGTCACGTTAGGGCAGTCATGTTCAAGGAAAACTTAACTTTAACATAATATATGGCGATTTTTAATGCTTAGAGGACTTTTATGGTGTTAAACATGTCTAGTGGCATTTAAAAAGTCAGAAATGTTGAAGGAAAATTGCGAGAAAATAGGACAAAATAATGTTTTATTTAACCTCATCTTCCTCATGTAGTTGAATTTAACTATCCGCGTTGCCGATCGCATCCGCGTTGCCGATCGCGCGTTGACAGGGGTGTATCATATATAACTTTCATTAACTTCAGTGTACATGCACAGTTTGGTGGAAATCTACCGTCCAGGTATTTTTTAGGGACCGTCTCAAAATACAGTATATTTACTATAGGATTATATAGGAAAATGCCCCTTTTATAGCACTTAAAAGCAAATTATACAAATACTACAATAGACATTTTGTTCAAACTATAATATTTGATGAGTAATACTATATTATACAATATATGTAAGAAACACAAAATTCTACCGTCTTGTTACCAGAGGGGGCATCTCAAATTGCAAAAAATTAGCAAATTTTACTATTTTTATAGAGCACTACAAAAAATGACGTACACAATGGATTCACATGAAAACATAAACAAGATATTTGAGAGTTGCTCTAATTTCTGTGTTTTAAATTTCAAGAGCGTATGTTTATTACCTTTTCTTTAATAATATTTTTATTACCCTTTCTTTAAGAGTTACAGATTATCATAACGTCAAAAACACTCTGCAACGACGTCAACCAACCTATTTTTTGAAAAATTGGTTAAAAATCAATTATATCAAATTTTAATTGCATTTTTATACCTATAATTTCTTTATTTTGTTTAATTTTAATAATTAAGCGAAAAAAATTGCATTAAAACAGTAAATACGCTTCATTTTACTATGATGCGCGAAATACTGCGCAATGGAAACTATAGTCGGCCCCCTTAAAGCAATATGGAGCAAAGACTGCCGTTGAATACTATTAAAGCAAAATGTACATTGAGCAAGTTTACTGTACACTACCTTATGCGCAGCGAAGCACAGACTTCACATTGAGCTGCCTACCAGTCGATGAACTGGTCTTTATTATTTCATTTAAGGATACACCAAAGGCTTTTTTCAAAATTTTTGTCAATTTTGAGATTTTTGGCTAAGAAAACAATGCTAATCACTGCTTTATAATGCATGAAAAATTCTTGCTGATTATTAAAATGGTTTTCTAATTATTTAACAATAATCAAACATAAACACTAACACATGTGAATGTGCCGTTATTGAGGCTTTTGATTTGGTCTTTAACTGCCTGCTTCTGAAAGGAGTAATAAATTACTGTGACCACTTGGGGAATTCTTCACTAGCCACACAGAGGTTATCAGTAATTAAACTGCAGGAACTCTTGATATAGGGAAGGAGATCTAACAGGTCACTAATGACCATGAAATAGGAGGTGGAGCTTATCTCTTGCCATTTTGCCGGGAAATCTTTCTGATTCAGAATTGAACCTATTTTACTTCATTAAAAGCACCTAAATAAAGAATAGAACCTCCCATTCTTGTGAATATGCATAGGAAATATGGATAAGTGACAGGTATCCAAAGCTGAATCTCCAAGGTGTCATATATTTCTAGCTTTGTCAGACTTTGTTGTGTAATGGGTTTTTGCCCTCTACTGTAAAGTAAGATCAGACAGTTGGTGGTATTATTTGAAAGGATTCAGTTCCCTTATTTATTGACCAATTTCTCTGAAAACTGCCCAGAATGCGTCTCAAATGTGTGTTCACAAAACCGTATCTCAGATTTTTGATATCTTGCTCAGTTCTCGAATTATTGGGGGAAATGTAGAATTAGGCTAATAAATTGGTAACATTGAAAGACAAATGGATGTAACTTTTGAATAAGAAGATTTATCAAAAATCTGAGATACGGTATTAAAGTTCAATCTTTAATCTACATTGAGGCAAAATTTTGACTTTGAGAGGTGGAATACAAGAAAGTTGATTTATAAAATATAATTGCACTAATATTTACATTAAAATATTAATAATTTTTTAATAGGATAAAAATGAAAATTTAAATTAAGATCATTAAATAGTGAATTTAAGAAGCTTTCAAATGATATATACTTTTAATATGTTATCTTTGTTAATGAAAGAATTACAAGCAAATTAAATTTTGCCTTTTGGAAACCTTTTGTGTATCCTTAAGAAGCTAATTAAATATTGTATCTTTTAGAACCTATGTAGTGAAACGTAATGATTGCACTAGACTATTAAAGTAAAAGTAAACCACTAAATATCCCAACTCACGACAAAAATTAACGAGACCGCGCGTTTAACCATGAAATGAAACATTCATGAATGAAACATTGCTTGTTTGTACTTGAATAATAAAACTCTTACGTAATGTTTCAATTTCCAATAGGTTTAAAAGATGTTTTCTACCTACTTTTGCAAATAAAAAAAACTTGAATTATTTTACACTCTTGTTTCTTCATATAACTTTGTTTACGAATTTCTTTGTCCGATTAACTGGGGCCACATTTAACGCGCTTAGATTGGTTGATTGAATATTGATTAACGCCAAGTCGGCAATCTTTCAGCCATGTTTTGGCGGTAACGCGCTTAGGTGAAGTTGATACGCTTAGATGAAGTGTTGATATGAATATTCCCACCGACAAAACTCGGATAAAATGGTATCAGTTTACTTTGTTTTTTGAAAATTATCTACTTTCACTTTTACATGTACTTCCAAGAAACCTTTCAATGGCCAAACGTCAGCATCGCATTTCTTTATAAAGAACAAAGGAACCAAGAGCCTAAGGGTGTGATTGTTGATTTAGGCACCGATTGTGGTAATTTTCTGTCTATAAAACCTATAATTTTGTCTATTCTCAATACTTACAGCGTGTGTTTATTCTCCGGTTTTGCTAGATATCGTGCAGAGTCCGGAAATAACACAGTTTTATTATGAATAGTTTCAGGTTCATCGTAAAAGGGACAATGGACACTAAAAAGAAGTCTATATTGGCTGGAAAGAAACAGAATGGTGTGTATGATAATACAAATGATACTTTGCTCTTTAGCTTTGCTTTTCCGTTAGTGTTTTTTGGCGTGCTGGTATAGCTATTCATCTGAAAAAACTTTAATCACTCGGACAACGTTTCAAAAAGAACGATAAGTAATACCGGTATCATTATGAATTCAGCTACAATCAAACACAGAAACAAAAACAACCCCAATCTTAAAATCCAAATCTCAGTCAAGGAAGATGGAGAACTGGCCCCGGGATCATGAAACATCTTAAGGTTAAGTCAAAATGTTCATGCTGCATTAAAATTTTGATTAGGTCAAGCAAACAAAAATTAAAGAATTTGTCAATATTGCATCACATAAGTGCTGTTATCTGCACATTTTGATAATCATTAAAAAATAAATAAACACTTTACAAGCGATTGAAATTTTGACTTAAGTCTAAGTCTGTTTCATGATACTGGGGCCTGGTTCTGAATATTTAAGTCTAACTCAATTACGATAAGAAACTCAGTATAACGGTTGGAGTTTAAATAAAATAGCATTCGTAGAAAACTCAGTTATAATACACTGCTTTAGTATCAATCATGTAGTTACTAGAAAACCCAATACCATTGTTTACGTACCGGTCAATATAAAATTGGACAAAATGGGTATATCAATGTGAATTTTATGATTTTCTACTCTGCTGACATTGTTTTCTCTTTCATATAAAAACTGTTTTGGTTCATGGTACATGGTAACTATGGATACTTTTCTCAGACATTTTCTTAGCAAACAGCCCATAATTATATCTATCAAAAGTCACTTAAATTATCTTTACAGAAATTAAAATCGAGACTATGTTGGGGTTGCGTAAAATATCAAACTGTTTCAATTAATTTAACCCAGATACAGGCAAAAGCTCAATTTAACTATAAATCTAAATAAGGCAAGGTCGGAAGCTAAATTCATTGGATAAATTATCCCCTCTGATTTCTCATTTTGATATTTTTCAGTTGCATGTACACCTCCGTATTATACGGAATTATTTTCAATGGAAATGTATTTTTTGCAATTTCCTTAAAAAATCTTTTTTGTTATTTTTAATGGAAATGTCATTCTTGCAGAATTTCTTCAAAAAGTTTGTTTTTTTAAGGTTTTTGAGACACACACGTTTTAGTTCAATAGATTGTGTAAAAATGTACAAAAATTGTTGTTCTTATATCACGTGGACCCACACACCCTTCTTGTTTATATTTTTTTAAATTTTCAATCAGGATCCAATGATGACAAGAAAAAGGTCAAAGCAAGGAGAATAATTTCACTCCAGACCCAGACCTCAGACGTAAAACATAAGAGCTCGACTAAAATTACATCTAAGAGCAAGTTGTCCATCAAAGGTAGGAAACGTAACATTGGCTCTGGTGATGCCGCGGGATCTACATGTATCAATCCAAAGCTTAAGGCTGCAAGAGTAGACAGGAATAAAGAGGAATCTGAAACAGGGTCTGGTGATCAGAAAAGGGGTAAATTAAACGTAGAAAGAAAATCAAATATAAAGTATGTATATCGAATTCTTCGGCCTGGCGAAAGCTATAAATATGGTCTGTACCCAAAAGATATTCAGTCGAGAATAAGTATCCAGCAACATGTGGAAAGGGGAAGCAGATGCCAAAAATCGAAGTACATTTCTTGTTGCAGAAGACTTTGCGCCATAAAGAGGCTGGGAAAATTTACATATGACACAAGTCAAGTAAGGGATGTGCTAAGGATAACCATAGGCAGACTCAAAAACAACGTCCAAGTTATAGATCTAACTAAAGTTGAAATACGCGAGCGTCACATCGAACGCTCCTCAAAAGCTTGGGGGTACTCTGAAAGATCCGAGGAAGTCATCTTAGAGCCAACATCTCATGTACCTCCAGAATGTTTAAAGAAAATTGGAGAAATTCGTTACAAATTGTTTAGAAAAATATAAATTATGATCCTGGTATGCTTCATTTCCAAAGGAAAATTTTATTGCATTTAATCAGCACTATAGAGGAAGATTAATTGTTCCACGTCCTAATTTGCTTAGAAATAGTTAGAATCTATAAAATTTTGTTTAATCCATGTATCTTAGGTCCTTGGAGAATGTCAATCAAAAAGAAGGTCACCGTGACCTTATTTTTAACGAAACACGGTTATATTAAATAATTTGAGGTCCTGAGTCACTCAAAAGCACCAATCTTTGTCATCTCGGGTACTTTTTATCAACTGGTGTCTGTTAAATTGTTTCACTGTACATAGATATATTTTTTAAGTTTCCTTATTTTAAATTGTAGAAAAATGAAATGTTAGACGGACAAATTGAGAGAGAGAGAGAGAGAGGGAGAGAGAGAGAGAGAGAGAGAATTTCTATATTCTTTCGTTACATCAATTTGTTATTATATAGGGGTCTTTATATAATGTAGTGCTTGCTCTGTATAGTATGTATAAATATTTTATCATATCTAAGTATTATTTTTACAGCACATGCCGTTTTAGTTTAAAATATATATTAAATGCACTTTAAATGGCAGCAAAAGGAGAACTATATCTTTATTATTTTAATATATTGTTATATATTATGAATTTATAATAACTGTTTATACATAATATATATAACATGACTGTATAGAAAACATTCTATCATGTGTACTCATATTATGTATGTAAGAATGAATGCAAATTTTATTAAAACGAATAGAATAGTAGAACTTGTATACCAATTCATTAACATAAAACGCTTAGGAACAAATGGGTGTCAGAAGCAATTGAAAGTGGGAGGGGTGGGAGCTTATTTAAAGTAGGACCAGTGTGGGCTAAACCAACAGAAAAAGGTAAACCCCAATTTTCAACGCCTACTGTATATAATGATTATCTTTGAAAAAAAATGGATGGCCCCCCTCTCCCCCCGGTTCCGACGCCTATGAGGAAAGATGATTGTTATGTGTAATATTTTGATTTGTAGTTCAAACAAATGTACAGAATTGTGGTCCCCCGCTTTTTGTGTATAACTAGTTTAGTGAATGGAATGCGATAAAATAAGTATAAGACATATTGTGTCAAATAAGTACGCTCCATATTATGTCATTCAATATCAATCACCAAAGTTAAGAACTTTGAAAAATAGGTCAGGCAAGGTAAAGGGGTAAAGAATTATAGCATGCTCAGAAACATCATGTACTTACATTCAACATCCATATCAAATATGAAAGTCCTATCTCTTTCAAAAGTAACTAGTGCTAATTGTAACAGGGACCGTTACAGATGTTCCCCAAACGCTCCCCAACTCCCTTTTGGTGCCATATTCCCTGTAAGCTTCATTAAATAAGACAAACTCGATGCAATTGAGACTTTAATAACGTTTACCCAGAAGTGTACAAAGTTCATTAAAATTTTGCGTGCGCATGTGAATGCATGTGCGTAATGACCATGTCATCTTGTCTACACAATCTATATATTTTTAAAAACTAAATATTAAAGCATTTAATCCAAAAGTATTAAAAAGATACGCTCATTCAAGTGTTTTTTTTTTATTTTGCTCATTTCACGTGCACGTACGTGCATACATGAGCATGGTGACCATATCGTCTTGTAGATGTCCGTTACATCTATCTATGTTCTAAATCCCACCCCGTTTGGTTGAAAACCAATGGAGTTATATCTGTTTAAAGTTTCAGCCAATCAGATTGCAGCGCACGTACATGCACGTGTATGCATGTGCATGATGACCATATTTTCTTGTAGTAGTCCAGTATATCTATATATGTTCCAAATCCCATCCTGTTTGGTTGAAAATCAAGGTAGTTATAGCTATTTAAAGTTTAAGCCAATCAGATTGCAGCGCATGTACATGCACGTGTTTTCATGATAATTGCTATATATCTTGTTGTAGGATATCCTAATGCATGGCAATTTTCAAAATTTCAAAAGATTTCGTTAAAAAATAAGAAAGATATGGAGACTTTAGTTTCAGCCAATCACAGCAAAGCGCACGTGCATGCGCGTGAGATCTTGCTATTTTGACCATGTCATATTGTCTATGCTTCTAATATATCCTCATATTATAAGTTTCAAAGCATTTCATAAAAAATTAAAAAAGTTACGCCTATATCAATTAAATCGGTCATTTCACATGTTGCACGTGCACGCTCTTGCAAGCACGTGCGCGCAAAATGACCTTCGTTCCGCAAATCTACATAACATGTCTACTGACCCTAAAAACATTTCACCTTAGTCGGAGGTATATTTTAAGAGATCATTCCCGGACAAAAAAGTACCCAGGAAGAAGAAGAAGAAGAAAAATAATAATAATAACTAGAAAGTCTGCTATTGCAAGCAATAGCATATGTCGCCCCGTACTGGACAAGACTTTCATTTTAATCATCACTAAAACAAAAGTCCATTAGCTAAGTTTGAACAACCATCGAGTTGTATGATGGTCCTTTCCATTGGAAACGGAAGACCTTAATTGGGTACATCCCACTCATTATTTTTAGAATCGGTAGGAGAAGAAAGTAGTGCAGGAAAATTACAAGTTCCTAAATTTGCAGAATTGCATAAAAGAAATCTGGCAGATGCACTAAACTGAGCCTCATACTTGTTAATTGGCAGTATCTTTCCTATCATAAAAGCTTGGGAAATGTAATCTATGAAGAAGATCAGCCGAATTATTTTGTGTATTGTAACGCCAGTGAGAACTCAGAAATTTCCCTCTTTCACTTTCATTTTAGAGGTTCTACCAAAAAACGAATCTGACATGCCACCATCAATTCGAGCATTTCTGCATTGCAGAGAGCTGATGTTTGTTATGAGATGATAAATCATGTGTAAACTTTCTCAGTTTAGCGGAATCATGAACATTTTCGGCGAGATGAATGTTTTGTATACAGTGGTGATCAAGGCTTCGCGAACCTTCAGGAGCGGATCAAAAGATTTTTGAATGAATAAAAACTATGAAAATGACGTACCAATTTTTTAATTTATACTTGCACTATCTAATGAAATGAATAATATACAAGTGATAGATATACAAGAAAACGCGAAATGATAATAAATGCAGCTGACAATCGTTATTTTTATTTTATATAGATAAAATAAAATATTTATAAATTCAAGAGACAAAACAGAAGGAGAATGAATGATGGCAAAATATCACATGACGGGAACTGAATTTTATGAATGAAGATTTTAAAAAGTTACTTGTAAGTTGTATATGTTATATCTGTGTATTCTACCTGGCTGTGTTCTTTAAAAGGGGGGGGGTCGTCTTGAACATAGTAAATAGCCATAACGTTTGAACGGTAAGTACTAGGGCTTTCGTATTTCAAATATGTAATCCTTGTGAAAAGAACTTTTATTGGATACGACGAACTTTGACCTTTTGACCTAGACCTTGGAGAACACATGTGTACATCTGAATCTTTTTTTCTGTTTCGTTTCTATGGCAACTGTGAGCGACTCATTACAATTATTTTGAAAGTAGAAATCACTTTGTCACATTGCAAGGAATTAACATTGAAAGTTTCAAAACGATTGCCTGAGTAGTTATTGAGAAAATCGAAATTAAAGAATTTTAACTTTCACCTGGTTTCCATGGCAATAATCGATTATTTGAAAATTTTAAATGCGAAGCGCACAACTACAGATACTAATCCTTAAAATAAGAAAAGTTTCATGACGAACGTTTAAGGGACCAGAGAGAACACTCTCGGACAAAATTTGTCGCTTTTTACAGGTTTCCATGGCAACGGTAGACATATTGGAACTGAACGACCTCACTGCACAACTACAACCAGTGATCGTCCTTTGAGGAAAGTTTCAGGAAGATTGTCCCAGCCATCTCCGAGAAACAGCCTGGATAAAAAAAACATGCGTACAATATCAATATGTCGTCCCCGACTTCGTTCGGGGCGACATAATAACTCCTGAATTTTTCTCATCAATAACTCCTGAATTTTCCCCTTCAATTCGAGCATTTCTGCATTGCAGAGAGCTGATGTTTGTTATGAGATGATAAATCATGTGTAAACTTTCTCAGTTTAGCGGAATCATGAACATTTTCGGCGAGATGAATGTTTTGTATACAGTGGTGATCAAGGCTTCGCGAACCTTCAGGAGCGGATCAAAAGATTTTTGAATGAATAAAAACTATGAAAATGACGTACCAATTTTTTAATTTATACTTGCACTATCTAATGAAATGAATAATATACAAGTGATAGATATACAAGAAAACGCGAAATGATAATAAATGCAGCTGACAATCGTTATTTTTATTTTATATAGATAAAATAAAATATTTATAAATTCAAGAGACAAAACAGAAGGAGAATGAATGATGGCAAAATATCACATGACGGGAACTGAATTTTATGAATGAAGATTTTAAAAAGTTACTTGTAAGTTGTATATGTTATATCTGTGTATTCTACCTGGCTGTGTTCTTTAAAAGGGGGGGGGGTCGTCTTGAACATAGTAAATAGCCATAACGTTTGAACGGTAAGTACTAGGGCTTTCGTATTTCAAATATGTAATCCTTGTGAAAAGAACTTTTATTGGATACGACGAACTTTGACCTTTTGACCTAGACCTTGGAGAACACATGTGTACATCTGAATCTTTTTTTCTGTTTCGTTTCTATGGCAACTGTGAGCGACTCATTACAATTATTTTGAAAGTAGAAATCACTTTGTCACATTGCAAGGAATTAACATTGAAAGTTTCAAAACGATTGCCTGAGTAGTTATTGAGAAAATCGAAATTAAAGAATTTTAACTTTCACCTGGTTTCCATGGCAATAATCGATTATTTGAAAATTTTAAATGCGAAGCGCACAACTACAGATACTAATCCTTAAAATAAGAAAAGTTTCATGACGAACGTTTAAGGGACCAGAGAGAACACTCTCGGACAAAATTTGTCGCTTTTTACAGGTTTCCATGGCAACGGTAGACATATTGGAACTGAACGACCTCACTGCACAACTACAACCAGTGATCGTCCTTTGAGGAAAGTTTCAGGAAGATTGTCCCAGCCATCTCCGAGAAACAGCCTGGATAAAAAAAACATGCGTACAATATCAATATGTCGTCCCCGACTTCGTTCGGGGCGACATAATAACTCCTGAATTTTTCTCATCAATAACTCCTGAATTTTCCCCTTCAATTCGAGCATTTCTGCATTGCAGAGAGCTGATGTTTGTTATGAGATGATAAATCATGTGTAAACTTTCTCAGTTTAGCGGAATCATGAACATTTTCGGCGAGATGAATGTTTTGTATACAGTGGTGATCAAGGCTTCGCGAACCTTCAGGAGCGGATCAAAAGATTTTTGAATGAATAAAAACTATGAAAATGACGTACCAATTTTTTAATTTATACTTGCACTATCTAATGAAATGAATAATATACAAGTGATAGATATACAAGAAAACGCGAAATGATAATAAATGCAGCTGACAATCGTTATTTTTATTTTATATAGATAAAATAAAATATTTATAAATTCAAGAGACAAAACAGAAGGAGAATGAATGATGGCAAAATATCACATGACGGGAACTGAATTTTATGAATGAAGATTTTAAAAAGTTACTTGTAAGTTGTATATGTTATATCTGTGTATTCTACCTGGCTGTGTTCTTTAAAAGGGGGGGGGTCGTCTTGAACATA